TCGGTTTTTCGATGAAACACTTATTTCTGTTTGAGTTAACTGGTTTCTCGGACCCCATTTTGAGGATTGAAAGACAATTTAAATGCCTCAATAGGTATTTTTTCAAAGAGTGTGGTATAATTAGCATTATATGTACATATATCCTCTTTGATTACAGTGGTGGTGAGGCGCTCATGGAAGAATGGTTAAATGTTCAAACTGCTAGCCAGAAGGTCGCGGGTTAGAGGCTGTTCGAGTTTCGAGAGATGCGCAATGCTGATGAGTCCCAACAAGGATGTTACAACTGTACAGTGTTTCTAGGACTTTCCGCACAGAGTGCTTCCATTTACAGAACGAAGTTTCCATTAAGCATTTTTTCTTGTTTGGCCTGTGGACGTGGTCACCCAAAATTAGCCGTCCTTTATGAGAAGTTTTCATTCAAGTGGATAACTGAATTTTTAAACAAGTATTCGGGTTTCATTTCAAACACCAGATGATATGTGACCATCGTCGAGCTTAAGTGATGATACCTTTGTCTGTCATCGGACAAGTCGGTGTGCTGCGCATTTTATGCATGAGTTCTTACACTTTGGAAGTAAACCTCAGCTGCGCATTTATACGAATGCGGCTAACGATTAAGTAATCGACGATTGGTTCCCTTCAAAGCACCCAAGTAGTAGAAAAACTGTCGTCTTTGCCTGTCTATATTAAGGTTCTTCATTCTCACGTATTCCATGTCATTGTTAGACTCGAAGGCCCAACAATGAATTTAAAAAAACACCTCTAATCCGTAGAAATACAACCGACGAAGTACTACCTTTATTAACTAAAACTCAAGTTTTCAAAATCACCAGAAGTATCTCCTGCACATCTAGGAAATGGTTATCCTTATGTTCCTGGGTCTAACTTTTTCACGTGAAGACTGTCTGGCAGGGTTAAGAAGTTCCCAGTTTTTTTCTATTGCAACTCATTTTTATCGTAACATAATATTTCGAAACATAAGGTATCATCCTTTATTGCTCAGCGACAATTAGAAGACTGAGGAACTGCTTTACTGTGAGAACAAGATTACCGTTTGTTCGTCAGATATTTTTGCAATGTGAAGGCCTTTAGCAGGACTAATAGACCAGAATTTTTCGGCAAACAGTAAATATTTCTTGGGAATACAGACCAGTAAGGTAACTTTATAGGTGAAACTATAATCTTCGCCGTTAGTTTTTCATTATTACGTTTGTGTGTAACAGGAAATCTTAATAATTTATCACACCAAGCCAGCGCTTTTTGCTCTGCTAACGACACGCATTTATTGTCCTCAGCCCAAGCGGAATTCAAATTTCGATAATTCATCTTGGGACTCAAGATTTCGAAGTATGGTGCACGTGGGCATACGTTTTCGTAATAGAATAAGCGAAAATATTATAGACAACCAGCGGACCAAACAGAACGGAACGGCAGTGGGATTCGAGCGTTTGTGGAACTGAGTCAAATAATCTGGACAATCTCTGCTGAAACAACCTTATGTTAATTCTATTACACTGCCATGGAAGTGATTAGATTGTGATGCCAACTGGAGAACCTTAATGTTATTATCTCCAGTGATGCGTTTGAAATCAGAATTGGGAACCCGTGTTCAAATTATTCCACCATTTTTGCGTTTTTCTGGGACTGTCGAAATGGAAAGTATTTTTCATAGGCTTCATAGCTTGAGTGGACAATGGAAAAGGTAAAAATATTCTTCTTGGTTAATTTTAGTGGATATGTTTCATCCGCAACTGATGTGGTACCCGGCTAGCTGGCACACCAAGCACTAATCAGATGAGAAGCTGTGTAATCTTGAACGGTGGTTACCGCGTGTCTGACTGCGCAAATCACCCCTGTACCTCTGTCGTTCAGCACGCAATATAGTTGATTCCGTTGTGGGAGACTTTCTCAAGTTTTGAAACATACACCAGAGATTTCATCCGAGCTGGCATGCGAATAAGAGGAAAATGTGGTGGGAATGTAAATCCCACGGAAGAAGCAGTTAGAGACTCCTTGGTACATTGATGAGCTCGTTTAACAGCTAATAACATGAACTAATTTATTTTGAAACCTTGGTACTTATTCCGATAATAAGTTTAATGTTTTACTCTTGTCTGTCGCCATTTAAAAATGCTGAATAATTTTGGTTATTCTGATTTATTTCCTTAGAGCCTTTGATAAACGAGGATCTCACACGTAGGCGCAGATTGCTTTGTTTCATGTGTTTCCCTTGCTGAAAACGCTCGCTGTAATCGCACATGCTGAATTACTTGCCAGGCTGCCAGGTAAGTGCACGTTTCAATTAAATTTTAAACTATTTACCACAAGAGCTTTGGGTTGGCGTCAGGCGGCATTCGTACCAAGGTAGCTACTTCATGTTACGCACGTGAAGCACGGAAGCCAAAACGCGGCAAGTGTTCCTAAAACATGCAGACAAACTTTCCTAGGACAAAGATAGACTGATTGTCATAAGCTGTTTCATAGGTTTGTTTTTCGACTGACTTTTACGCAACAATGAACAGAAAACAGTAATTGGGCACATTAGCAGCATTTAGCATTCCACACATCCCTTGTTGGAATCTTGGACTACCTTCTCAACGGCGTAAAGCTGCTAGAAGTGCAGTTCACGGAAATAATATTCTGGCGTCGATTTCTTCACAACTCATGAAGCACTAGAGCCACTTGATGGTTAAAACAACGCATTCACTTGTGATCAAGCAAATTTATTTCGAAAAGAACATAACGTAGTAATAATTACAGGCAGAAATTATCTCTTCATAATGGATATTAAGTCGATTGGTTGAATGAGTGGCGCGCGAGTCGCATTCCAACTCATTAAACGTTTATTTATGGTCCATTGATTGTGGAGAGAATCAATCGAATTAAATCATTGTACATGTGTCTCCCAAATGAAAAATTTAGCGTGGAAAGGGACACATTACAATTACCTTATTTCGACACCGCTTTTCCCGCTGACTGAATTATCATCTGAGGATTCTGCGCTCCGTGTCTTGGTTGATGCACAGGTTTAGCCGCCTCTTTACTTAAACCATAACATCTGACGCCTAATATTCTAGTAATTGATCTAGAAACTTTGTTTCCTGGAATCATAAACTGAATTAGGAAGGCCTCCTAATAAACAATCCAACCGAATACGTGGTGAAAACGAGTCGTGCAGGTGGTTCTCGTTAACCTAGGATTTACCCGCCTTAATTAAACGGGGATGGACATATAGCATTTGTAGCAACTGGATTATTTTTCTACGTGTGTGGACGTGCGCGTGATCTGCCTCATATATTTTATACAAGCTCAGTGATTTGGAATATTTTTCTTCTTATACGTCTCTTGGGACTAGCTGCTGAATCAGATCAACAATGATTGGCTCCAGCTGGTGCTTAGTCTACTCTTGTGCACCAAGTTGTAGGCCAAAACATCACGCTCAATTAGAAAAAAAGAACACATGCGATTTTTCATCCCTGGTTTGTCTGCTGCGGCAAAACCCACCTAATTAGGTGGGTGGCACCAGATGTTGTTTGATTACCCCAAGGCGTAAATCGGAGGAAGTGTTACAACTTCCCCTATCCCTGAGATATGCTTAGAGTAAACACGAAGTAAAAATACACACACACGCACAACTACATTTCACCGATCTAACAGTGTATGCGGGTTTGACGAACCAATGGTTAGACCATAACGGAAATGAGATTTAGCACTGGCGACACGCAGTGGACTGTCTACTAATAGAATTAGTTTGAGTGAGTGGCTTTGATTGGTTATCTCGAACAACAATGCTATTAACAAGATATTTTGATTTGTCAGAAAAAATTCGGGTATACTGAGCTTTCAGATACTATTGGTTTGTTGCTCAACGGGACGAAACCTGCATTTTTATGTATTCTGTTACACCTTTTTGTTGTTATGAAGGAGAAAACTTTGTTAAAGGGAAGTGTACGACCATCACGCGAAGAAACGTCCGACACTGGGCGAATGGCCATTTAACCTGACTTGCAAAGGATAGTCCGTTTATGATTGCACTGAAAAGAGGCTCTCCGGATATACTGGAAGTAATATGCCACTTGCTTGTAAGGTGTACTCGACGAATTCCCCAAAACCAACAACGGTTAAATCATTTAAATCGTTTATGCCTCGTCTGATTAACGAGTGCCTTTGTTGATTACAAACTTCCGCCTGTATGAGCACGTGATCAAATGTAGTGTCATTTACAGCGACTACGAAGGTCAATAGGGAGAAATCGATGAAACCGACAGATACACTCATTTGCACACCTATTGGTCTTCCTGAGCAACTCAACTGAATCTTCGTTTATGATATTCTCCAACTGAATGTGCTGCACAAAGGCCGCTTCATGTTTCAGTTTGCGCGATATTCGAGATATCACAGTGTATTTTCATAAAGGAAAATACTCATGAGGTTAATGTGCTGCCAAAGGCCGCTTCATGTTTCAGTTTGCGCGATATTCGAGATATCACAGTGTATTTTCATAAAGGAAAATACTCATGAGGTTGATGAAGAGGGGATGGTTTTGCCACGGTTTGCCTCCATGACATTTTCTACTTGAGTGGTCTCCGATCATGATGAAGAGGAGCAGTTTAGGTTTACAACAACGGTAACGCCCGAATGGGCGACTGCCGCTGAGGATGGTACTCGTGTAACCTACATTTGGTCGCTATTCAAACACCCAAGCACCCTATTCTAAGACTGGTGATCCTTCGTTGCCTTGCTCATAAGTAGCGTTTCCTGAGTTCAAAGAAGGCCGTATCCCTACAGATTGTCACCGAAGTTACAAATTCAATCAACCTTAACGCTAGAGATTATCACTTCCATGTAGCAACGATATTCTGTTGCACAACAAAGTGCGTTGGTCGCTCAAAGCTATCTTTTTCATCCACTTCTTGGGCCTTTGTTAGGCATTGTTAAACAGTCTTCTTCAAAGACAAATAGATTCCTCTCTTTCTACAGAGAGTGAGAAAGACACCCACGGCAAGCCGGCAACTGCGGGACAAACTGGTCGTGAGGAGGTCAACACCATATCCATCGACAAATTATCTCTAATCTTGGAAAAAAAATGAACTAAATAAGAGAATTTTTACCGCTTCTGTGATCTCACTACATTCGATGAAGGCAAAGGAAATTTTCGAGCACATGTGATACCAATGAAAATTGACATGATTGCACTATTTTATGGGGTCATCTCTACGAGAATGGAATTGCGTTTGGTGGATTTCTGCTCTCCCCCATCTGTGCTGATATAGATATCTCTCAGTAAGAATAGCCACTGAAACTATGAGAAGATGGGATTACTACAGCATTTTCAAGCCAGAGCTGATTTGTATCACCAAGATAGCGAGTTCAACCATGTCATCATCACCATCATCAGCAACACATAGACACGAGGACACTTAGGGCCATCAGTCAAGGCCTTTGGCTCAAAAGCCTAACTGCAAGGCAGCGATGTTTGGTGGGACATAAAAATGAATTATGATTTCTCCGAAAAGTCGCCACATGTTCCAACCCCCAACCTAGGAGATTGTGCTTGTCAGACCTCCAACCATTGACCAACCTGGTTTAAGAAACCCTGTAAGTTTCGCGAGAGCACCCTCCAGTATAGCTCACTGGGTCGCTGTGGTGCGCAACCCATCATACCACGGTAAGATCCAACATCTTCGTGACGGTTCTAACCATGTGCCGACATTCCAACCATGGTCACGAGCTGTCACGCGGCCTCTAATTTAGGCACTTCTCTCGGTCTATTGAGCAGAACCGTCTTCATCTTGGCGCTGAACCACCAACAAACTGAGGACTTATTCAACCGCCGTATGGTCATTTCGCTCTGGCTTATTCGAGGTACGAACAAAAGCGCAGTGTGTCCGACTAGATTTTTCAGTAAACAATGTGCTTCCGTAAATGACGCTTTCCTTTTATTTGCCTTGCGTTTGACTGAGTTTTGATGCAAGAACAAAGTCGTCCCAACTCATAACTATAAATCATTCGTACATGCTCTTTCTTCTGAGCGGCGCAAGGCTACCGTTTTTTGTCAGAGGGAGAAGATTGATATAAGTTGGGAGTAGATCAAATTTAAAAAATCGCCCGAAGATTTGCTGTTTGTCGATAAATCTAAGTTAAAAAAGTTCCTGACTTTCTAAAGCACGTTTCGCTGACTTTGCATTTACTTTTCTTTATTCTAATAATTTTTTTCATTCAAACATGTCCCGGAGCTTTGCGGCTTCTCTCCCCATGGATCATCAAACTTGGACATCTAGGTCATGTCAACCTCCGGCTAATCAAATTTACCACACATCAGTACAACTACAAATGGGAATCTCCCATGTCCTTTCTTCAGAGCGCGAAACGTGTCAACCACTCTCATAATTCGCTCATTCAAGTAGCGTTTCGTGTGTGCTGTCCAAATTTGGGTGCCCGGAGCATGCTGATTTGAACAACAGTCTAATAAAGCCTCGGCTGGGGGTAAGGCGTCATGTCGGAAGTGGCAGATGGCACACTGACAAGCTATCTGGACACAAATGTAACAACAACCATCTATAAGCGCATGGTAGTTCATCCAGTGGCTTATAAAATGTTAAAGTTGCCAGCCCCGAGCTTACATTCCCGGCACTCCTGGTCTATTCTTCCTCCCCCTATCCCGACGCAATTATTCTGATTGGTTCATACCAAAGGGGGATTCCAGCTCCACTCTTACTGATGACTGTTGGTAGTTTTCTGGAGTTTGAACCTTGGATGTCTAACATGCGCCCTGTCTAAGGTACAGGTATTATTACCGCTGAGTGAAATGGGCTTCTCATAATCTACTCAGCAAGACAGCACTCCAGGTTAAAATCCCGCAAGCTCTGGCATCTAAATTGTTTTCGCGATCTAAAAAGCGAGTGATGGAACCCTTTTTGATGAACAAAGTTTGCTGTTCCTGTGTCTAAGTTCCGGTCAAGAACGAAGCCACGCTTGCTCAGTTGGCGGTCATCAATCGAAAGGAGCCTATTCATCCTATTTATATGACATAGAAATGCCAGATTGATGGGAGGACTTTTGTCCGTTTAACTTACCGACAGTTGGTGGAGTAAGCACTGACGAATTCTCGACAACGGTTCAATCATCGAATTCCTGAGAGACATCAGGTTTTCAGATTTTAAATTCGAAATCAAAGGGCAAATTTCATGACGGCAAAAGTCCCCTATAGGCTTTATTTTACACGTCATTAGAAACTCCAGAAAGCCCCAAATGCGGAAGTGCACTCAAATAGGCATCTTATCGCCTCTTAAGTGCCGAGATGTCGGAATGACAACGTATCTGTTTCATCGTGTTCCTCACAAAGAACTCTATCATCAACCTTACAATAGAAGGACCTACCGTCCATCCATTTAAATCAGTATTTCTCACTTGTTAATTGTGCTGTAACAATTTTTCTGAATTACGCATTGTGTGGGGAGTCGGCCGGTTTTCAGTTAATCACCCATATTTCACTGGACCGCATAGTAGTTCCACGCTAAATGCGGCGCCTATCTTCCGTATATGATTTGAAGCGCGCAGGTTTTGATTCGTCACTCAAACTGTTCACGGTGTGGGCGGTTTTGAAATTTGAGTTTGCATGCACATGAATCTTGAGTGAACTGTTTTCCGCTTTGCTTTTGCAATTATTCTCTTTAGTCCGCCCCAAAGAGACAGAAAATCTTGTTTTGGGCCAAAGAGAATAAATGTGCCAGAACAGAAGAACTGTTCGGGCGAATCCGACACGACATGAATGTAGGTTCATCCATTTGGCATAATTAGCGGAATCAAGATTTATTTGACCCAGGTTTTGGATATATCTCACACAGAGGAGTTGAAACATTCTTACTGGTTCAAAAATACAGATGAGACTCCTGCGAGCTTACTGGACCCCAAGGCCCAGTTTCCCTTTAAACCCACCCGCATGAATTGGCCTTCTCTTCTGCCGTCCATTCTGCAAGACGAAAGTATTCCACATCAACACCACGCTCGTTTAAACAGTCCACCTCTTATTTTGTCCTGATTCACTTATTTTGGTAAGTCCACACCAAAGAAAGGAAAGACTGGACTCAAGTTTCTCCCTTATTAGAGCTTATCAGCAGTGCATATCCTAAGCATTGTCAGACCTGAAACTCCGGCTACAGCCAATCCACCGGCTCTCACTGGACATATCCGATATATCCTATCTGAGCAGGCAGTAGCATTCACTCTTGAGTGATACGGTCAGTTTACCCAGCGGCTCGAACGATGACTCAATAGCCATCCTGGTTGCGCCGGTCGATTTAACTGTCAGTGCGGTCAGCATGTGAATTCTCTAATGATGAGTGCGAAACACGAGTCCATTGCTAGCCCCCTTTGCACCAAGACAGCTAATAACTTTTCAAACAAGAGCTGTGTGGATCCGAATTCTACAACTACAGCAAATTCACTTGAAGGGGGCAACTGTGGCATCCCAATGACGGCTTTTGGATCATCCTGGTGGCCACTACCCGCAGATTGGAAGCCACTGCTCTTCATACCTTCAGGTCGTTCAGCCAACATTCTTTATACTCTTTTCTTCATTATGAATTCAAATACAGTTATTCTCAATGGCACGAGTACAAATTATAGTGGTAAGACGCGTTAAACAAATCTGATTTATTGTAACACATATTACGGCCATATATACATTGTAATTTCCAAAGAAAACGTATGTCGATTTAGTTGAGATAATGGTGTGTGCGTAGCTAGGAAATTATACAGGTCCTGGCACTCATTACTGAATTGTAAACAATGACACTGTAATGCATGCTTGGTTCTCAAAATGCCCAACAAAATGGTGGAACCCAGCTGAAACGGGGTAGAGGAAAATTCTCTAGTCCACAGGCAATCAGACAAGAGCGAACACTGCCGCATCGAAAAAAGGATCTTTATTATGAGGTGTTCTCTAGCAAGATTTTACTTCAGTTCCCTGGATCCAGCTACTCTCGCTCAGGAAAAGCAGCTCTATACTGAAGCCCCTCTCAAGCAAGCCACAGGTTTCGTTCCGCACCAAGTACCAGACTGTCACCCACCTCTTCAAGATCAGTGTGAAGGTAACTGAATAGGCACTGATAGATTTTTATTGACTGGGGATCAGCCTCAGCTTGACATGAACTCGACTACACATCATGTCTAAGTCACTTGCTACCAGTTCACAATTTTCTACGGTGTTCAGACATGGCCGATATTTCCTGTTTACAACTCCTCCCTGCAGTGACAAAAAGATGGCTTTGTAACTCACGTTGGGATTTCCATTCTACACCTCTCTAAAATTACTCGATCCACCGCTTATTTCGTCTTTAACAATGACGCGGTAATCGAGTAGAAATTTCCAGTAGATTACAAGTGCTTTGAGGATAATGACTATCGCACAGACGGAGCTACCTTTTTTACCGTATTGTTCAGTCACCGCTACCATACCTTCACTTATTAAAAAGACTGGAATAAACAGCACCAGATCAGTGAATACTAAAACTTTAAACTAGCCTTCCGTTTGTCAACGGAGAATTGTGATCTGATTCGTAGCCAAAATCCCCGCCTCCTCTTATTCACTTCTCCGGAAAGTTCGCTGATTTAAGGCGCACAAAATCGAATATAATCCAAGGGCGGGAAATTTAGACTGAAAATGATTTCCACATTGTTATGTGAACCAAACTGCATGTCCCTGGGGGGCCTTGTCAAAGTCTACACGAATACGTTTAAAACGGATACTTTAAGCCGGTTGTCGGATGTCAGTTGTAGGCAGATGCAGAGGATAAAGAACAGCGTGATTGTATGCCTTGCTTGCAGTTCTTCCAAATTTCTCGTTTGCGAAATTTTGAAACAGACCGGAAAAAATCCACTAATTTCTGAAGCGTCTATCTGACAGTGGCTCACTCAAATGAGTCAAATTTTTTTTGTGAATAGTACTCATCATAAAACTGCAAAGGAATTAAATGAAACTCTATGACTCACTAGTCTGGAGCAGATGTGCTTACTGCTGACTATGGTACCGACAAATAAGCCCCTACAAGCTCCATCCCACTAAGAAAACTC